GGGCCTGGCGTGTGCCAGGCTTGCCCAGCGCTCGGCTCTTCCTCTCCAGCGGCTGGGGGGCCCGTCTAAGGGAAGAGGCGCTCATCCCTCTGTCCTGCCTTGGTGCCGAGGACTGAGATGGCTTCGTTACGGCCGTGCCCTGGATGTGACACATTTTTCCTGCCTGCAGGGACTCTGGGCTGTGCCTCGGTGGCCGTGGGCTCACCCATTGTGCCCCTGGGCTCAGCCGTCACAGCATCCTGCACCATCTGGAGCGAGCTCTGCCGTGGCTTGGAGCAGGGGAAGGTCCGGATCACGTGGATGCTGGACAATGAGCCCATGGCAGGGAGCCAGCACCGGGGCCCGGGTGGCACAGAGGTGTCCAACCTCACCCTGCCCCGGTTCAACCGCACGCAGGCCAAGCTGTGGTGCTGGGTGGAATGGAACGGGACCAAGCAGCGCGTTGGCATGGCCGAGATCAGAGCGGGCTGTAAGTCTGCTGCCACCGTGGGTCACCCGCGTGTGCACACATGGACTTCATGGAGGTGCAACCTGGCACTGGGGTTTGCACGTCTCCTCCCCGAGACGTCTGCCCCAGGCGAGCGGGGCAAAGCTGCTGGGGCAGGAGCAGCAGCCAGGGCTGATGGCCGACGGTGGCTGTTTCGGACGGTGGCCCAGCCACATCCCGGCGCACCGGTGCCCTGCGGGCAGGCTGCGGGGCAGGGCAGGTTTGGGGAGCAGTGGTGGGCATGGAGGGGACTGCGGCTCCCCACAGCCAGGACGGGCGCTTTGCTCAGGCTCTTCCCCGACCGCTCTCTCCCAGACCCACCTGCAAAGCCCTTCAACCTCAGCTGCGTCCTGAACCTCAGCGACTATGGGCTGATGTGCCAGTGGAAGCAGGGACCCGACAGCCACCTCCCCACCAGCGTCGCGCTGAAGTGTGCCAGGTAAGCCTCGGGCCACCTCTCCTGGACCTGACCCACCACCAAACTATATGGCAAGCCACCTCCTCCGCTGGAGGGACCTCCAAGCCCACCCCTCTTGCTGCCACAGGAGCAGAGCCCAGGTGGTGACAGGCTGCACCCCGCAAGGCGACCGCAGCCGCTGCACGGTGCCACGCCGGCTGCTCCAGCTCTACCGGCAAATGGAGATCTGGGTGTCCGCCACCAACGCGCTGGGCACGGCCGAGTCGGAGCATCTCTACATCGACCCCATGGATGTCGGTGAGTGACGGCTGGAGCCGCCTGCCTTGCGCGGAGGTCAGGACCCAGGGAAGCTCATCAGCAGTGAGAGAGGGGTATTAGAGCACCATTAAAGCACATCGGGCTTTTAGGTCATATTTTACGCGCAGGTTCCCATGATAAATGGCTCGCTGGGATGAATAGGTGCCAAAGCTGCATTACAGACTGAGCAGCGTGTGCCGGCGGGTTATGAGCCGTCAGTTGACCTGCTGCACTCTACAACTCTCTCTAGCAATTGATTACCCATTTATTCAGGAGGTCTATTAATAATATATCCAGCTCCTATAAACTATTTATAGAAGGAACCTTCCCAGACAGTGCGACTCATCCTCCCTGCTCTAGACCCGGGGAAGGGTTGCCCATGAACCAACTGAGCCTCCCACGGCCATGCAGGGCTCTCACCCCCCAGCAGACCCAAATGTGTGGCTTTCCTGGCCGTGTACCAGACCCCAGGTCAGGGTACCGCGCGATCTGCTTTTCCTGCGTAGGCGTTAACCCTGCCTGGAGCCCAGGGTGCAGACCAGTGCCGGTGCTGTGCTCCTGAGCATCACCCCGTGTCCCAGACAGGGGCCCACGCTGGCTCCCATCCCCTGCCACGAGCCGTTCTCCTATGTGGGGCAGTTTCTCCCCGTCCCTTGCCCCACACCTCGGGCAGGCCAGCAGAAGTTGTGGCTCGGCGTGCGAGGCCAGGGCCCCGCGCCCCGCCTGCCGTGGCACCTCTCCAGCTCTCTCCCCTGCTCTTCCTCCAGCCAAGCTGGACCCCCCGGTCCTGCAGAGTATCCAGTCCATCCCATTCCAGACCGACTGCATTGCCCTGACCTGGGAGGTGGCACGGAGCAACGCGCACATGGAGCTGCAGTGCGAGCTGCGCTACCGGGCATCCGAGGACCCCGCCTGGGCTCTGGTGAGTGCTGCTGGGGCAGTGGGACCAGGGTGGGTGAGTGAGCAGGAGCTGGGACCCTTCCCTCCTCCCTGAGCTCTGCCAGGTTTCCTGCCTGCCTTCTGCACCCTGGGCAGCTCCAGGTGTGGGTCGGAGCCTCCAGCTCCCTCTCAGGCTTGCGCACCAAGGGAGGGATGCAGCCGCAGCATCATCTTTCCCACCGTGCCATTGCAGCAGCCTCTTGCCTGCAAAGAGCCCATCCCGCTTAGGCTGTGTGCTGAGGCCACCACATCTCATCACACCCGTGTGACCCCCTTGTCCAGAGCTGCCCTGTGCAGGGGAGGAGCTCGCCCCAGTCCTCGCTGCTCTGCTCACACTGGCCCCAGTCCCGTGCCAAGGTGGGACAGGGCTGCCCTCCCCCAGGGCTGGGCTGCGGGGCCAGACCCTGGTACTGAGCCCGGCCAGAGCAGGACCCGCTGTGTCCCTGTTGGAGGGGAAAGATGGCAATGGGAACGGCGGGGTGCCTGCATGGGAGGGGGATGGCAAAGTGCCCCCTCAAATGCCCTGTGCAGCACCCACACCGGGGCTGGCCCCTGCTCGAGGCAGGAGCCAGCACAGCCCTCCCTCTGGCTGCCACCAGGTCACCAACATCGTCGGCCAGGCCGGCACCATGCAGCACTGCGGCTTCCTCTTCGGCACGCGGTACCACTTCCAGATGCGATGCCGGCGGAGCTCGGCACAAGGCTACTGGAGCGAGTGGAGCCCGGGCAGGAACTACACC